GTCCAGTTTAAGGGTATTACACAGAAACATACCAAGGGAACATGAATCAAATATGTATCTTTATTCATTTACAATAAACTTATAAAGTACATCATTCTGATTGAAGCTAAGGGCATACAAAACTGTCTAACATTATGTACTTGTGGCTGTAGATTATGTGAGCAAATGGGTGGAAGCATGTGCATACCCTACTAATGATGCCCGGGTTGTCATTAAATTTATAAAAAAAATCATATTCACTCATTTTTGGACACCTCGAGCCATCATAAGTGATGGGGGGAAGCACTTCTGCAATAAACAATTCGAACAATTGTTGAACAAATATGGTGTTACACACAGAATTGCAACCCCTTACCACCCTCAGACTAGCGGCCAAGTAGAAGTCTCTAATAGGGAACTAAAGCAGATTTTAGAAAAGACGGTCACCACATCCAGGAGAAATTGGTCCTTGAATTTAGATGATGCACTTTGGGCTTACCGTACTGCATTCAAAACCCCAATTGGCATGTCCCCTTACCAATTAATTTTCGGCAAGGCGTTCCATCTACCCGTTGAGTTGGAACATAAAGCTTATTGGGCTACCAAATTTTTAAATTTTGATTTGAGCAATGCAGGTAATGCAAGGAAACTTCAGCTCAACAAGTTAGAAGAATGGAGGAATCAAGCTTATGAGAATGCCCACACTTACAAAGAGAAAACCAAGGCATGGCATGACTCTCGAATTGCAGGGAAGGAGTTCAAGGAAGGAGACAAGGTGCCGCTCTTTAATTCTCGCCTGAAGCTATTTCTTGGGAAGTTGAAAACCAGGTGGAGTGGACCCTTTGTAGTGGCTAAGGTATTCTCTTATGGAGCAATTGAACTACATAATGATGATGGGAGTACATTCAAGGTAAATGGACAGCGTTTGAAGCACTATATTGAAGGAGAACAATCCATTCACCATGAATCCATTCTCCCCTTGAAACAACCATAAAAGGAAGGAGAAAGTCAAGCTCACGACTTAAAAGGAGCGCTTGTAGGAGGCAACCCATCGAGTTTAGTTTTTGTTTCTTTTGTTCAGTTATTGTTTTTTGTTTGTTATTTATGAGTGTGTTTTTTTTAATCGTATCTCACATCTGCAAGATCTCAACAAGGCATTCAGGGAAGTACCCTCAAATCTTTCTCTCCTCTTACGCATATTCCTTACCTTGAGGACAATGTATACTTTAAGTGTGGGGGGGATTAAGGGATTTGATAAATTTTTTGGCATGCTTCGATCATAACTTTTTAACCTTTCCTTTTGAAATTTTTGTTCCCTAAAGATTTGTTTTTGAATAATTTCAAACTATCATGAATCATGTGCTTAGGTGGAATAGACAGGAAAGGATGCAAGTAAGACTAGCTGAAATTTTCGGCTATAGAAGGCATCTCATTGCAACCCCTATTTGATTATTCTAGAACTTGTTTTGCTAGACATGTTGAGACCACGATATGAGTTCATGGATTGGGTTGACAATGGTGTTGATATCCAAAAAAAAATAAATAAATAAATAAAAGAGAGAGAGAACTAGTGTGAGATGGAGAATAAAATGCACTCACACTGAGAGAAAAAGAGCTAGTGTGAGATGGAGTATAAAATGCACTCATCCCTAGAACGACAAGCCCCGTTTCACCTTTTGATGCATTGAACTCATGATAAGTGGTGGAGATGTGATGCATAAGCAAGATAACATTCCTTGTTTTTTAAGGGCAATTAGCAGTTTGAATTTGTTAAAGCAATGAATGCTTACTTTAATCCTAAAATGTTCATGCGATGAAATGCTTGCTCCCCTTGATTGTTAATTCGATTTGGGAGCATGAGGATTGGTGATTAGAGATTATTCTTTGACAAGTTAAAGAGGAAAAAGAAGTGGACGAATGGAAGGATCATTAAACCTGAATAAAGGCATGCGAGAGGACAAATACCCTGTTGAGATTCATCAAAAAAAAAAAAATTAGTCAGCTTGTTCCTGTTTTAATTTTGTTTTGAGTTTTGTCTTGCCCGAGGACGGGCAAGGTGTAAGTGTGGGAGGGTTTGATGAGAGTAGAATTTATCACATTTTTATCCCCAAATATTCTGTCTTGCATACTTAATTAGTACTTAATTGGACTCATATTTCTTGTATT